ACACCCGAGTCAGTGTTCACAGCATTGTGGACATCGAGAAATGCTTTGACATAATTTCCTGGGCACTCCTGATAGCAGCGGGACGAGCACATGGTTTTCCTGGACAACTCATGGTTTTGGCCATCAGGATGTACATGAGTGTTAGGAGGCTTTCCTGGGATGGCTGTTTTTTTTTCGACGCAGGTTCATGCAAGACAGGGCGTGCTGCCAGGATGCGCCTTCGCCATGTTTTGCTTGCAGTGCGTCATGCTCACGCCGTTCGACTCGTTGTATGCGCACGCGTCGCACATTTCGCGCTCGTTGCATGTGTACGCTGACGACATCACGGTATCCATTATATGTTCATTGCGCAGTATAGTTACATCGGCTAGCAGAGTCTTACGAATACTGGCTCGCTTGCTCGCGCATTTGGGCTTACCACCAGCCAGGAACAATATGAGCATTTCGTCCAGCATACCTGAAGTGGCTCGGCGGGTGGCGGCACGGCTGCACAAATTTGGTTATGCCTATCGGAGTGCCTTGGAGGTTCTTGGGGTTGAGGTGGCCTCAGGGAGGCCCCTTCGGTACCGTCGACTTCGTGAACGCGCCTCGGTCGCCTCGAAACGAGTTCCACGGCTTTCGAAAGTTCGGAAAGCGGGACCCATCGTCTGCAAGTTTGTCCGACAGGCACTACCCAGTGTTATGGGCTATGGATTAGGAGTACATGGAGCGCCGCCACAGTTGGTGGCCAAGATGCGCTCTGTGCTTCGCTCGTGCTGGTATTCACCTGGGTCGACCACTTCGGCCTGGTTGACGAGTTGCCTTCAAGGCACCGTGCTGTCCGACCCGCAGGTCCAGGCGTGGGCGGCCCCTCTTGTACAGTGGGCTGTGCTTTGTCGGGGCGTCGTGGTGACTCGCGAGGAGCTCCAGAGGGCCTGGAAGGCGCAGATCCAGAAGGTATACTTGGCCACACATCCCTGGGAACACGTCTCGGGTCCTGCTGGGGCTATGCTTTTATCCTTAAAGGCCTTGAAATGGACCTCCAGCTCAGCTTTTGTCTGGAAGACCGACATCGGGGACATCTTGGACCTCGGGACTTCTGCGCCGTCCACGGTTCGTGGCTTAGGTCAGGCTGCTGCGCTCAGGAGGCTTTGGGAGTCCTGGGCAGCTCGAGGGGGCCCCGCTGACGACGTTGGCATGGCCCCCAAGCAGCCCCTCGGGTACTGGATCGAACCCATCGTTGACCTGTTGAGAAGGTACAAGGGGGGGGCGAATTTGACGACCCATCCGAGGGCGAAGGCGCGGACTCCGACGACGACGAGCCACGGGACTCTAGCAGGACTCCCTGGGCCCCTTCGTTTAACGAGGCGGCGATGCTGCGCGCCTTCGTAGGTGGTGGCATGTGGTCCCCGTCTCGGCTTCACGCTTTTGGATATGTTGATCGCGCTGACTGTATGGCGTGCCCGTCCACGGCTTGCACTACCCATCATATCTTGTGGGATTGTGCTGGCAGTAGCGGCGAAAGGATACGTCACCTCTCGGATTTAGATGACAAAGGGCTTCCACCCAAGGTTGTTGGGTCATGGTTTTGGGATCGCGGATTATGCCCTCGCAGCTGTTTTCCACCAGTGCCGCCAAAGGATAATTCGGGCAGGTGGATTGTCAAATACGGTACCGCAGATATGGTTAGTGGCGTCATATTCACAGATGGGGCATGTAATAAGTTCTGGTACTGGCCCGAAGCGTCTCGTGCTGGATGGGGTTCGCTAAGCTGGAGGATGGTAAGATTGATCTTCTAGTGTATGGTGCTCTCCCTGGGCCTGTGCAGTCCTCACCGCGGTCTGAGCTATATGCCTTCTTGCTAGTTTTGCAGATAGCTGTGTTGCCTATATTAGTCTATTCAGATTTTAAGGGCTTGATTGAAGGCCTCACTTGCGGGCCTGATTGGTGTAGACATCCGTCTCGGCCTAATGTTGATCTTTGGGATCTAATTTGGACCAAAATCGACGATTTAGGAGGCCTCTCGGATAGTTTGGAAGTTCGTCACGTGCGAAGGCACCAGCGAGGCATGGATGTCTTGGCGCGGGGGAACCGATGGGCCGATTTTGGGGCGACCAGGGGGCGGGATTTGCACTCGGTTTCCCGACGGCATGTCAAGGCCATGCGGATTGCTCTGAAGTCTGTTCGGTCGGTTTTGAAATGGCAGGTTGAAGCGTTGCTGGCCTTCGCTGCGCACGGACGTGTCACAACTGTGCCGCGACGGGGCAAGAAGCCCATTCAGGCCAGGCAGGCCAAGAGTGAATTTGACCCCACCCCTCCTCCCTCCCACCTGGCTCACGCCTTTTCGCAAGTGCCGAATCGCCTCATTTGGAGGTGCAATGTCTGCATGAAAGGTGCCAAGGCCAAGAGATCGAGGGATCGTTTATCTCGTATAACCTGTTTTGCCCGTGTCCTGGCGTCGAGGTCTTTCGACATGAGTTCGAGGGAGCCCCCGCGAGTGCAGGGATGTGTCGCTGGTGACCAGGCCAGGGCGGACCCCTCCCAGGATCTCACGGGCTCAGCCAGTGTCTCTCAGGATGCCCCCACTAAGAGAATGGGTGACCTCCTGGCCCGCCCAGGCTCGTCTGATGGTAGGGACGTGAGGCCGCGTGTCACTTTCGCCCCGATTCAGCGTGTTTTGGCTCCTGATGCCGATGAGCTGGCTTTGGCGCAGAGGCAGATCCTGGAGCCAAATTTTAAACGGCGGAAGATGGGTAGGCCCGCGTTGGCCGAGTCGACCGTCCCCGCGTGTCCGCTGCCCGTGTCAGGTATCGTCGGGCATTTATGTGCGCGTGGCCACCGATGTTGGGTCAGCCCTGGTCAGGTTGTTCTCTGCATTAAGTGTGGCTTTTACACTACTGGCGTTGCTGGCCACCTGCTCCTGGATTGCACAGTCCCTCAAGTGTTATCGGAGAGGGCTGCGCGAAACAGGAAGCTATTTTTGGAAGGGCTTCACCCCGCCGATGAAGGGCTACCAGCAGCCGTCGAATACCTGTTTCTCGCCCATTGCTTGCCAGTGACCCCGAGGTCACATGGCTAAGGCTTGGATGAGCTCCCTGTGTTGAGCCCGTTTCTGGTTTCTGGTTTCGGGGCTCCTTGGGCTTTCATTCTGGGCGGCCTCCTGCCGCTTCGGCCCCTGGGAAACTCCCGGTCGGCCAATTCGCTTGTTTTTAGTTTGGCCTGGCGGGGCGGACGGTCGGAGCGACGGTGCGCGCGGCCGCCCCGCGACCCTCGCGTGGCGGCTCCTGCTCTTCTTCTTCCGCAGCAGGCGCGCCCCCGCGCGCCGCCCGCCGCGCTGCTTCGTCGCCGCCGCCGCCAGGCCCGCTGGCTCGGGAGTGCTCAACCGTGATCCTCAGGTGGGTTGAGCCTCGTCCTTCGAGCTCGGGGGAAGCCTTTTTGGGCTCGCCCCATTCTGCTGTGGCCGTCGGTGCTCCGCGCGACGGTGTCCAGTCAGTGCCGCGTCCTCCCCTGGCGGTGGCGATGGTGATGCTCCGTCTGGCCAGGCAGGGAGCACGGCGTCACGGAAAATCAGCACCCGACGATCCGACGCGATCTTCTCGCGGGATCTCTCGAGCTGGATTGATCCGTGAGGGTTCCAGCGCCATTGGGCGAACAGGCCTCCGGCATTTTGGTCTAATGACAGGAGGACATAGGGGTATGCCTAAGCTGGTTTCGGGTGCACCTCCAGGGAGGTTGAATTAGTTCTCGGCCTTGGCGACAGTGGGTAATCCAGTTTATTTGAGTCTAGTCCTTGTGGTTGTCAGACTGAACATCCGGCTCACTCTGTGAGTAAAGAAGAAGCATCACCGCCCCCACTTGGCCATTGTCCTTCCTCTGAGTCTGGGCCAGAGCTTCGAAACCTGATTGTGGGTAATTTCGCGATTGCCCGCTACTCTTGCTCACTAGTTCCCCATTGCCACGGAGGTCCTCCCAGGAGTGCCACCAGTTTCCCGGCGCTGGGACTTTTTTGTTCGGGGTGGGGCGCAGCGCCGACCAATGAAATTCTCGCGGACGCCCGAACGTTCATGCGTATGTATTCTTGGTCGTTCGCAGAACCTCAAGTCCTTCGGACAAGTCCTCTTGCCCACAGGACCTCGAGCCATCGTTGTTCTTTGGAGGCCGCCCCAGCCCGCCCCGGCCCGCGCCGTGCGGGGATAGCCGTGGCCCTCTGACCCCCCAGGCAGTTTTGTGGAGAGCCCCGGGGCTCGTGGAGGGTTCATGCGGGGGGGGTGACGACAAGCGGCACAAGCATGCAATTTGAGAGAGCCGTGCGGATTTTTCGGACTGGCCCTGGACTCTAGGCCTTCTAGATGAGGTCCGAGTAGATGGGGTCGGAGGATCGCGCCGCATCGCCGATGCATCGGAGATGCGGCTCGATGACGAGCCTGAATTTCTCCACGTCGGCGTCGCTGATGCATCGCCGATGTCGCAGATGCATCGGCGATGTATCGCCGATGTTTCGGCGATGCGGCGTGATCCTCCGACCCCATCTACTCGGACCCAATCTAGGAGGCCTCTATGGACGCCTTTGCCTGGCGACGATCCGAGAAATGTCCGCGCGGTTTGTCCGCGCGGCCCCCTCCCTTATTGAGCTCGCGCTGCTGCCGCTCTCCTCTTCGTGCTCTGCTCTGGTGGTCACGGCGGCGGTTCCGCGATGCGGCGGCGGCCGCGAAGGCCCCTCGGGAGAGCGAAGGCCCCTCGGGAGAGCCCTCCCTCCAGACCCACCTCGCGAGTTTCTCATGTGTGTGTTTGTGTGCGTGTGTGTCAAGGCAGGGATCGTTTCGATTGCTCCGATGTTATGCGATTCGATTTCGGTGGATGCCGATTCCGATTCGATTCAACCTTGGGTTCCGATTCGGATTCCAATTCTAGACGCTTCGCGTATCCCCACCAGCCGCACGCCCTGGCTTCTCAGACGCCCTGGGTTGCCGCTGCTCGCCGCCTGACCGCGGCTCCGCGCGCGCCCGCCCCCCCGTCGCGGCCGCAGCCCGACCGTGACCGCCTGCCGCTGGAGCTTCCGCCTGCGGCCGTAAAACAAAAAAGTACCCCCACCAGCCGTAGCCTTTGGCTCAAGCTCGGCTCAAACCGTTGCCGTTCAGGGCCTGCACAGGAGTAGGAGGAGGCGGCGCGCAAGGATGCCAGGCCACCACCCCGTGCAGACCTCGTGGTCAGGGTGGTACGAGGACGAGCGCGTTGGCACAAGGGACAACATGAGCTTCGACACCCTGATCATCAACAACCGCAAGGTGCAGGGCCACGGTGAGGACGCCGTCGGCAAGTTCTCCCTGGAGGGGAAAGCCGAAGGAGGGTCCATGGAGTTTGACAAAACGTACGAGGGAGCCCACACGGTTGTCTATCGTGGCCGACTGCGCGACCTCCCCGAGGGTGGCCAGATAATTGAGGGGGAGTGGCATCTTCAGTCAGCCCCAGAAGTGAGAGGCATCTTCGAATTGTCCAGAAGCCTGGAGATGGAGAGGAAGCGAGAGGCGGCCTTCCAGATGGTGGTGGCCAGGATGAAGATGATTGTCGGGTTTATCCGTTTCTTCCTCGAAGACGTCGGCTTCTCGTGCGTCCAACTCTTGTACCTTTTCTGGCACGAGGAGAGCATGAGCCCAAGCACCCGGAACTTCACAATCCTCTCGCTGGCCGCCGGACTTTTCCTGTCCATTGCCGGCCCCATCAGCGAGGCTCTCAAGAGCAGGCGCCTGATGAGGGCCGGTGGTGAGTTGGCCAGCCCGGGGCCGCCACCGTCCGTGGACGGCGGAAACCCCACGCGGGCCGCCGGCAACGCGTACAAGCACGAGAGGCTCGCCGATGAGGAGACGCCCCTGGAGGAAGAGGGCGGGGCGGAGGGGCGCAAGCCGCTCTCCGGCGCGTACCGCGAGCGCCTGGAGAAGGTGGAGGCGATCCAGCAAGGCGAGCTCCTGACCGGCAACCTGGACTACATTGATCTCCTGATGGAGCGGCCCGACCGCCCAGCGGAGGTGCCGGACATCGCCATCACCGACATCATCGTCACCAGCAGGGGCGTGCACGCGGTCCTGCTCGGCTCCGTGGTGATGCACTGGCTGTTCGTCGCCTCCGTGCCCTTCGTCTTCAGCCCAAGCTGCCACGCGGGCGCGCCCGCCAAAGCCCATTTGGGCTTCATGTGCATCGCCTTCCTCTGCCTCTTCACGCAGATCTGGGTGGCCGCCTTCACCAAGTACGGATACCTCATGCTGATCCACGCGCCGCAGCAGTTTGGCTTCAGCCTGCTCCTCTCCTTTCTGGGCAACTTCGACGCGTACAGCGACATCATCTTCGTCGCGATGGCGCGGGACTGCGGCAGCAAGCTGTGGATGCCCGCGGCCGCCATCTACGTGGTCGGGGTCGTCTGCGCCCAGGCCCTGCCGGGCATAGCGCTGCTTGCCGCGAAGCACAACATCCCGGCGGCGCTAAAGCTCACGGAGCTGAACGTGTTGTTGGTTCTGCTGAAGCCATCTGTGGGCTAGGGCTCGCCGAAGGCGTGTCTACCCATGCCCGCACAGACCTGCCTTAAGGGAGCACGCGTGCGATGATGCGCCTTCCGAAGTCGGACTGTTGTCAGTGCCGCGCAATTCTCTCGTGGCAATTGGCCCACAGGGCGCGTCGTCAAAGGTGTGCTCCCCATAGTTTTTGCTGTTCCCGCTCTGAACATGCGCTCTGCTAGTGTGTGTCTGGCTTAGCTGCACGTAAGACTGTATGTCCGTGCGCGTCTGCATGCACACCCAGGCGGCGTGGATGCTGAGGCGTCAGCGTCTCTACAGGCCTCATAGGGAACGACCTGAATGCCGCAGACACTCTCGAGGGCTTCTTGTCTTCTGGTGGGGTGGGCTTGTTAGATCCGCAAGCGGGAAGTGGAGGAGGAGGAGCTGCCAGGTCGTCCGAATGGTCGTCAAGCTTGGCGCGTTGCCGCTTGTTTTAATCGATGGCAAGCGTGTGCGCGCCTTTTTTCCGTGACACCGCGATCAGCAGTTTGCCGATAGCGAATAGAGGAGTCGAGGGTGAGCAGGAGGGATGGTGGCAGAAGAAGCCGGAGCAGTCGGTCGGTGGAGTAGGCAGGGGACGGCCAGCCAGCGGGGGCGCTGTGTTGCGTGCCAGATTTTGTTGCCAGCGCTTCACGCGCGAGTCAGGCGTAGCGTGCTGCCGCTTGTTTGAATCGATGTCAAGCGTGTGCGCGCCTCGACTCCGTGGAACCGCGTTCGGCCGTCTCCGTTGCTGACGGTGGACGGAGCAGGTCAGGGTGAGCAGGAGGGATGCTTCGGGTTCTTACATGTGGTTTCTTGAGCGTATGGTCTGGCGGGTTTGGTCTGACGGGCCGGAATAGAGGGGAAGGTTTCGCTTTCTGTCATTCGCCGGTCCCACGGCAGCGAGTGGTCACAACGGCGAGTTGCAAGCGCTTCCCTCGGTTGGAGGGACGCAATGACGTCAGTCGGACAAGTGTCAGCCATGGTTGGCCAGTCTCATGCGAGACTGAAGGCCACCACTGCGCGCAACAATGGCGCGAGGAAGATGCGGACGGAGCGTGGTTCCGCAAACTCCCAAAGTTTGCCTCCGCACGCTCCGCAAGCTCCGCTCGTCCCACGCTTCGGGGGAAAAAAAAAGCTCCAGACTAGATCGCTGGTCCTCTGAACGCAGGCGCATCGCTCCGCAGTGGTCGGGTCTTGCCTCTGCTGCTCGGCCTGAGGCTTCCCCCTGCGTGTTGCGTTTTCTGATGCTGCGACGGTTCGCTGGCGCTGTCAGAATCCCCCTCCTGCTGGACGACGTCCCCAGTTTCAGACTGCTCATACCCGTCAGACTCCCTGGAGTGACTTCCCGCACGGAGATCGTTTCCTGCCTCGCGGTTGTCTCGACACGATCACGACCTGGAACGCACTGCGCGCCATTTTGGCCGCGCCCGGCTCGCCTGGACGCCTGACCTCTCAGACTCCCTGGGTTGCAGCTTGCACGACCGCCTCAGGTGACTGACCTTTCAGACTCCCTGGGATTGCACGACCGCCTGGCCCCTCAGACGCCCTGGGTTGCCGCTGCTTTGCCGCCTGATCCGCGGCCCCGCGCGCGCCCGGGAATTTAGTCGCGGCCGCAGCCCGACCGTGACTGCTCGCCGCCGGCGCTTCCGCTTCCGCCGGACGCCCAGGCGAGTAGAGGGTCGTCCTGAGGGGCTTTTCGGCGTCTTGGGTGCCTCGGGGGGGCCTCTGTGGGCCGTTCGGAATCCTCTTTGGGGCCTCCTGGGGGCCTCTTGGGGCCTCTTGGGGCCATCTTGGGGCCTCTGGGAGCACCTTGGGTGCCTCTGGGGGGTCTCTTGGGGCCTCTTGGGGGTCTCTTGGGGGCCTCCTGGGGGCCTCTTGGTGGGCCTCTTGGGGCCATCTTGGGGCCATCCTGCGGCCTCTTGGGGCATCCTGGGGGCCTCTTGCGGCCATCGTGGAGGAAATCGATCAAAGAAGAGGGGTTCCTAAATTTCAGCCCCCCCCCTCAGGAGCCACGATCCTCGTGAGGGGTGTCGAATTTTAGCCCTCCCAGGGGTCGTTTTTGGACGCTCTAACTACCCGCGGCCCCCCCTGTCCAGGTCAGTGGGGAGGGGGTAGGGGGAGGGGTAAACCCCTCCCCGAAGGGGAAGAAGGAGGGGTGGAAGAGGAAACTCGTCAAACCACCGACGCCCTAAAGGGCTGGTGGGATTTATCAAAGAGGCATTACTACTCTGCCGATCTCCGCTGATTCGACTTCTCCCGACTTAGCTGCCGATCTCCGCCGATCCAAAACATGTCGACCGCCGATCGGATTAATCGGCTCGATTCTGGGCTATCTTGTCAAGGCCGCTTGCGTTCCACCGTTCTGGGAAGGGCAACCCCCTTCCTCTGTTGCAGCCGACCGCGAGGACGAGGACGAGGAGGACGACGGCGACGACGGCGAGGACCCTGAGATCCGACGCTGCGAGAAAGGGCGAGTGGAGACGACGACAGCTCCCAATCCGTTTTCCGAGCTGCGTCCAGCCTCGGCGACGAGGGCCCCCCCCCCCCGAATGCCACCCAGCGTGTTGTCTCAGCTCGCCCTCCTCGGCATCTGCTGCAAATGGGCACCTGCAGCACCCCGACGCAGGCAAAATGCGCCCTCGCGAAGAGTCGCGCCCGGAGCCCCAGGGCCCGGCAGCTTCCTGCGGCATGCCTCGAGCCGGATGATCTCGCTCTCCGCGGGACTCCCGGGGCCCGAGGAGTGGGGCCAAACGTCGCGGGGTGTGGGCAGAAGTGCGGCGCCAGAGATCTCGGGGGGGGAGGAGGAGGAGGAGGAGGAGGAGGAGGAGGAGGAGGAGGAGGAGGAGGAGGAGGAGGAGGAGGAGGAGGAGGAGGAGCTGGAGGAGGAGGGCGAGGAGGAGGAGGAGGAGGAGGAGGAGGTGGAGGAGGCGGCGTCACCCCAGCATACTAATACTATGTGTGCGTCGCCCGTCAAGGCCGGCACGTGCGCCGAGGAAACTTGATAGTATAAGTTCCGTGGCGGGCGCTTTCTGGCCATTCCGCTCGGGACACAATGTACTACAATCTTGTTGTACTGTATCTTCGGGTCGGACGCACGTCTCCGAGAAGGACTCATAGTATTACTTAGCATACCTGTCTGCGTCCCAGAAAAGGCGGCTGCGTTACTCGTGTTGCGTTAATACTATCAGTTCATAGTTTATTGATCCGGTCGTGTTCCCCCTACTCTCTCTTAGGCTTCTTGCTTCGTTGATCTGCGCCCATACGGGCATTTCGTCTTTTTCATGTCTGCCCCTCTTCATGGTCGCACTTGCTGGCATCTTCCTGCTTTGGCTACTACACCTAAAGCTGGCTTCATGCCAGGCCTATTTTGTTTCTACCGCCCTGACGCTACGATTCCAGGTAGGGCGAAACTACCAGGCGTGAGTAGACATGTGTCGCCAGAGTCTCAGGGGAGGAGGAGGAGGACGATGAGAAAGAGGAGCAGGAGGAGGAGGAGGAGGAGGGAAAGGAGGAGCAGGAAAAGGAGGAGCAGGAACAAGAGGAGGACGGGAAGGAGGAGGAGGAGGCGGAGGTGGAGGAGGCGGAGGCTGCGCATACCCGCTGGCGGTTGGCAGCCCCCCGCCTCCCCGCGAGGCCTCGGGCGTTGTAGCAGGCCGGCCCCCGACGGTGCCCAGCGGCTCCTCGGTGGCCGCGCCCGCAGCACAGGCGCGGTGCAGGCCGGCACTGCGTGGGGGGGTCTGTCGTGTTTCGAAGAAGAACTGCCGCCATAAACATCATGGTTGGCGCTCCGCGCGGATTTCTTGGATCCGCGCTGGGCCCCCCTGGCGTCGCCTCCGGCGCCGCATCTGGCGCGTTCCGCGCGCCAGGGGAGGGTGGGTCCAGCGCAGATCCAAGAAGTCCGCGGCGCGGAGCGCCAAAAGTTAATGTTTCTTGCGTTTGTTATTCTTCTAGTGCTGGTCGTCGTGCGGGTATTTGTCGTTCTGGAAGTCCTCCTTGGGGGGCCGGACAGTGCCATGGGAAGGCGGGGTCCAAAGGAAACGGGTTCTTAGGTTTTTCGCTGTTTTGGGGGGCTCTCAGGGGCCCTTCACGGGCCCCAGAACGGTCAGAGAAAGGCTCAGGATGACATGCTCGTCCTGTGGGAAGGCCCCGAGTTTAAGGACCCGTTTTCTCCAGGGCCCACCTCCCCCATGCTCAGAGGAGGAGTAGATGGATGCATTGGTTACCCCATCCTCGGTTATTTCGCCGTGTTGGACCGCCTTGGAGGCCCTCGTCCTCAAGGCGGGATTCGCCTCGACTCCCGGGAGAGGCCCAGGGAGTAGCAGTACGGGGTACTGTCGGACCGAGGTATAGCATCGAGGTCGGTTCGGGGAGGGTACCCTCAGGTTCTTCGTGTCTGTTGGATGTTCTCGTGCAAAAATGGGGAGGATACCCTCGAATGCTCTCTGTGAGTGTTGGCCGGCAGAGGGTCCCATGGTCTTGAGGGATGCTCTTCTGTCCCAGATCCGACCGTATCGGTTTTGTGTCTCCACCCGTCTCGGCACAACCCTCAGCGAGGTTCGCAGGGCCGCTCGCCAGCCCGTTTCGGCGCACCCCTTGTTCGGATCCTGTCCCACTGGGGAGCTCCATCTGCGGCCCCCGGGAAAGGTTTCATGGGCTTGTTTTCAACCACCACCACCATACGTTGGAGGGGGGAAGTGGGTGGAGGAGGACGAGGAGGAGGACGAATAGGAGGAAGAGGAGGAAGAGGAGGAGGACCCCCTCCTCCTCCTCCTCCTCCTCCTCCTAATTCTGGTGGTGGTGGTGGTGGAAAACAAGCCCACCATGGGACAGGTTCGCACGGCGTCCGACCTTCTCCTGCCGGCGCACTTCTCCTTGCGCGGATCGCGTGCTCCACGGGGAGAGCTCCTCCGCCCACGCCCCCCCCCTCCCCCCCGGTGAGAGGCTTCGCACGCCGCCCGCCCCCGCCCCCCCCACCGCCCACCTCGGCACACAGTGGGGGCCCATGCCAAGAGGCACCCTGCTTGCCTCCAGGGTGCCCTGGGCTTCTTGGGCTTTGAGGGTTTTGCCATGCACAGCGTGGCGCTCCCGCACCAGAGATCCGTGGACGTTCTGGGGTCTCAGGGATGGGTTTCCTGTGGACTGGCCTCCCCTGTTCAAGAGGAGAAAAAACACACAGACACAATGAATCGTCGATCCCCACGAACATGTTGGAAAATCTGGGAAGTGGGGGGGGAGACAAGAACCCAGAAAACATGGGAAAATATGAGGAATCCTTTTGTTTGTGTGTATTGTGCGCGCGCGCGTGTGTGTGTGTGTGTGTGCGTGTGTGTGTGTGTGTGTGTCCCAGAGCCCCTTCGCCTGTGCCTC